CAACTGAACGTGCCTGCCTTGAGACCATTGACCACATTAACAAGAGTTCATGTGAAAATCACCTTAATGCTTCTGTTAACTATAAGCTCACTGTGGGTTGCTGATATGATGTGCCTACCAGGAAGCTAATGTCTTTATCAGCTGTGTTAATAAAATATAGACTCAGTATTAAGAGAAGTAATTATCCCACCAGTGAAGGACATGGGGACAAATCCTAATGTCCCAATGATGACACAAACCTGAAGTAATTATATAAGGGCAATTATGTCACAGGATGAGCTGAGGCTTGCAAAAATATACTCTTCTATTTTGTCACATATGCTGCCGGAATTAATTGCGATAGAGGAATGGTAAAAAAAAAAAAATAATAATGTGTGGATTTCATCCTGAATATATTTCTTTTGAGGAGACACTGGCAAAGAAACACGTTGGGGCTAGTGCTGTGTTTGCAAGTCATACCCCAGGATTGATATTCAGTCTGTGTGATATTCAGTTAATTAACCTGTGGAAGCAAAGAACTGAGAGACATGATAATGCATCAGATGTTTTGATGGGCTCTCATACAGAAGGAGAATGGGTCTCATTCTCACAGGGGTAGATGTGGGACCCAAGGGTAGAAGCTGTCAGGCTCTGTGGTTGTGTCCCAGACGCCTTGTGAGCTGGTGAGAACTTGGGTGGGCTGCTGGTGAGGCGTTTCCCTTCTTGTGTGTCCCTGCTCCAGTACTCTCTGCTTTGGAGGAATGAGGTCCTGAAGTGACCTGCGAATTGCTCCAGGTATTTCCTTTGTGGGGCTTGCTCAGCGTTGACAGCAGGAGTCCTGTGAGCAGAGCCTGAGGGGGTGCGGAAGGGAGTGGGGGCCCTCTGCAGGCTCAAGGACCTCTTGAAGGCAGTGCCTAGACCCTGGACCACTGGTGCCCGCCGGCTGGAGCTGGGGGACAGGGTCATTGGCTCTCCTCAGGCTCCACTCAGAGGAAGGGCCTGCTAGGAAGCAGTGTGCCCAAGAATGCAAATGATTTCCCGGCAACAGCATCTCCCCTGCTCGGCCAAATGCCTGATGAAAAGGAGACGGGGTGTGTGGGGAGAATAGGAGTAAGAGAGTCGGGGAGCAGAAGGGAGGGAGGGAAAAAAGGCCAGCGCTTGTGCTTACATCGGGCATTTGGCACCTGCTCGCATTTGAGTACCATCAGTTTCTGGGTCGGTAAGGGTCTAAAGTGAAGGAATGGCCCAACAAAAGGAAAAAAGTGAGTTTGTTATACCATCCAGATCCCTCCTTGATCTTCCCAGCTGGTGACGATGTTACCAATAAGAGGAGAGGGACCTCTGGGGAAGGAGATGCTGGCCACCGGAACTCTGAAGATTTACTTCGGGGCCACGATAGTGTTACCTTAATGCAGAGGTTCTTAAGGCAGGGGGGGAAGGGAGGGGTAAAGCAAGATCATCCCCCCTGGGATATTTGGCAATGTCTGGAGACATTTTTAGTTGTCACATCATGGGGAAGGAGGTCCGCTTGGCATCCAGTGGGCAGAAGCCAGGGATGCTGCTAAAATTCCTATATTGCACAGGACGGCCGCCATAACAAAGAATTGTCCAGCCCAACATATCAGTGGTGCTGAGGTTGGGAAACCATGCGTAAAAGGCATTTAACACTGGAGGCCTCCATGCCTGGGGCCACCCATTGGAGCCAAAACCTTTTCACAGGTTTCTGCTCTTACAGGTGAGGCATTCGAGGCTCAAAGAGTAAAGAGACTTGTCCAGGGACTCTGGCCTTGGATTGAGATGAGTAACAGCCCTGAAGTAAGACAGAATAGTTTTTTTTTTTTTTTAAAGATTTTATTTATTTATTTGAGAGAGAGAATGAGAGACAGAGAGCACGAGAGGGAGGAGGGTCAGAGGGAGAAGCAGACTCCCTGCCGAGCAGGGAGCCCGATGCGGGACTCGATCCTGGGACTCCAGGATCATGACCTGAGCCGAAGGCAGTCACTTAACCAACTGAGCCACCCAGGCGCCCAAGACAGAATAGTTTTAAATCCCAGTTCAGTAAGTTAATATCTGTGTAGCTTGGGCAAGTTACTTCACCACTTAGAGCCTTTATTTTTTTTTTTACCTGTTAAATGGGCATCACATAATAGCTCCCTTACAGTATTATTTTAAGGAATATATGAGATAATGCATGTAAAGTGCTTCACATAGCACGTGACATATAATAAATGGCACCTCTAATGAGTAGCAGAGCTAGAGGTAAAATCTTGGTTCCCATGCCCAAGTTCTGTTCTCTTTCCTTTGTATCACTTTAGTGAGTCCCAACCAAGGCTAGCCATCAGTTCTGAGAGGTTTGCAGGGCAGTGGTTGTGAGTTCTGGTACTTGACCCAAGTGAGCCTGGATTCAGAGTCCAGCTCTGCCACTTTCAAGCTGAGAAATTACTTCATCTCCCTCTAAGCCTCAGTTTTCCCATGTATAAAATGGGGGCAATGTTAATACCCACTTTCTAGGCTTGTTGTGAGATTTAAAATGATAATTCATATTAAACACTTTACCCCAAAGTGTAGAATAGAGTAAGGAATCATCGTATATTAGTTGTAGTTAATTTTTGTGGCAGGTTGTCTTTCCCCAAAATGGCCACCATAGTGTCTCTCATTCAACCTGCTTTTCTTCCGGTGCTATGGTAATTCCCCTTCCGCAAGAGGTGGGTCTGTTTTTTCATGAATGTGGGTGGACCTATGGCTCTGCTGGGAGTGATACTTTGTGACTTCTGAGGCTAGGCCATAAGAAAGTGATACAGCTTGGGCTTGCTTCTCTTGGGATGCTCACACTGAAAACCCAGCCTCCATGCTATCAGGAAGCCCAAGTCACCCCATGGAAAGGGCCACTTGAGGAGGAACTGACAGACTGTGTGAACCCTGCCAGACATCTGCATGAGTCATTGTAGGAGTGGAACCTCCAGTTCTGGTGAAGCTGCCCAGTTTACACTGAATGGAGAGAAATGATCTGGCTTCACTGAACCCTGTCCAAATTACAGATTCATGAACAAAATCAATGATCAGTGCCATTTGAAGCCATTGAATTTGGGGGGGACAGCTTCTTATTCAGCAAGAGTAACTGGAACAATATTATTCTTATTAATTTCCCAAAAAAGAAATTTTCCTTCTGCCCATTTTACCTCTCAGTCTCAACATCAACACCAGGAAGAAAAGTCGATGTAGGAGGAAATGTTGCTGCTTCTCCCCAAATCGGTGTTTCTTCTGGGTATCTGGAGGATGACGACATGGTACCACCCATTGTGACTATGCTATATGGAGGGTTTATATGGGGACACAATTGGACAAATCTCTTTTTGGGAACAGATTAATTTCAGGGCCCAATTGTTATCTGATAGCTTGTAGACAAGGGGTTCCTAAGAACACGGACTCATATTATTCTTTCCTTCCTTCTGCTTTGGTTTCCGCTATGGGTGTGGGAGTCAGGAACGACCCTTTCATCCATTTGAGTTTATTCAGTCCTCCATGCCTCATTTGTGGTTTCGAAGGAGGTGAGGTGAGGATAGAGGACAAGGTTTGAGGACGAATTGAAGAAGATCTTTGTCCTTCTTAGGAAAGCAAACCAATTTTTTCTATACCAGCTATGGTGTGTGCATGTGTGTGTGTGTGTGTGTGTTTGTGTGTGTGAGATCGAAGGGCAGGGGGCAGTGTTATTGAAATTAGAAGTTCAAGAACTTTCCTGAGCACAGGAGTTGTTGGGAATCTCCTTTTACCCTGGTGGAAAGTTACCCAGCATGACCACTCAGAGCCTCAGGGCTACTAGGCCCGGCGAGATATCTTCTTGAGGGGTGAGGGCCAAGTGAGAACTCTGTGCTTCATTCACCAAGACAAATTAGCCCTTTTTGTGTTTTGTCAGAGGATGGGATAATAATGAGCCATCTGCTTACTACCCATGGGAGCTCCACTGATTACTTGTGAAAATGACCCCAGCTTTCTTGGGGCCAGTGTCTAAATCTGGGATCCCAGGTTGGGGGAAGGGCAGACAGTAGTTACTTGTTGGTTTCTGGAAAACTGACACTATGTTAGAAACACAACTTCCTCCTGCATCAAGTAGAAGACGTTTACAGTTCTGAAAGCCTCATGTGTCTTGTTCTCTGCCTCCTCCAGCTAGATGTCTCCTCCTTTCTTGGGGGACCCTCAGAAGAGCTCTGGGTTCCACTGTAGGATGTTCTCAAAAGAATTGGTGGGAAGTGGATTTGATACCCCCTTAGTATGTCCCAGTAACCCTGGCATTGGAGTCCTACTTTGGAAATGGCTGGGAGAAAACATTAGAGTGTGGCTGAAGGGTACTTTTATTTTCAACAGAAAACAACTGTGGGCTTCTCAGTGCCTTTCCAGGCTCAGTTGGTATGAAGACTCAGCCTAACACCTTTATAAAGTGGTATTTGAGCAATTTGTAATGAAGAGGCACTTAAGGTGGGAGGTTCTTCCTTGTCTTCCCTACTTAGTTCTTCCTGTGTAAAAAAATTTGGCATGTTTCCTAATGATATTAACTTAATAGGGAGTGATTTCTAGCATGTTACACACATGGGTTATGGAAGTCAAGAATCTAGCTTCTACAAGGCATCCAGCGAGGCTGTTTACTGAAAATGGTACGACTGGGTATTTTAAAAGGTGGCTGAATGGTTTGTGAGCTGAATGGGGCAGTGTGATGGGAAAGAGTGGCCTCTCTATTACGTCTCTGGGGGAGGAAGATGGTGCTACGAGAAGCCACTGCGGAGAGACCGGACCAAGAATCACACCAACACGAGTGGGCTTGTTGGCAGAGAAAGTACTCAGAGCGCTCAATGGCATTCAGTGGCTTTACTGGGGGAGGAAGTAATGCCTGTCCCTCTTTGCTGGGTCATGATGATCTCATTTTTTTTTTGGCTTTTCATAGTTGGCTGTGAAAATAGCCTTTCACCTCCAAAGAATCAGTTAAATCAGACAAGGAGTACAGAGAGCAGTGTGAGTCATTTGCTTCCTTTTAGACTTCCCAGGGAGCTTGAGGGACAAATTGGTGAGGCCCCACCAGCAGCACCACTTTGTGGATCCCTGGACAGAACCGCTAGTGAAGCAAATACCTTTGAGGAAAGTGAAAGGGAAACAGGACGAGGAGAACCCTTTCCACCCCACCAGCAAGCTGTCCGTCACCGACTGCTCCCTAGTCAGACTGAGCTTGAGCGGTGATGTGGTTTGCTGATGCTTGGCAAAATGCCCTTCCTGGTTGGGGCCCCCCTTCCCTGGTGGTCACAAGGGACTGGACTTTACCAGGGAGTGAGGTTAGACTCCAGCATGACTGGAGGCTCCTTATCTGGCCCCTACCGGGGATCTTGGGGCAGCTCCGGGCTGCCCTCACCATGTAACTGGCGACAGCAGTGACTCAGCTGGAAAGGAAGAAGGAGCTGGTGTCATCAGCTGTTGTTAGGAAAGAATGGAGGAGCCTGGGGGAAACTCTCCAGTCCTGAGAGGACGGGAGGCATGAGGTAGGTTGCCTAGTAACTGTTCCAGCACCTCTCTTCATCCGCCTTTCAGGCTGCTGGCGCCTCTTGTCAGCTCCTACTTCTCATTTTTTCCCTTCAGAGCTGCCCTCCACACACCTTTTAACCAGACTTCACCCGGCTAAAAATGCTCCTGGGGGAGTGGGATGTGGGTCGGGGGTAGCCAGGGCACATTTTCTTCTGGATCATGGAATGTCTTAGAGAGTTCTGCTCTGGATTGGTCTTCCTGAGGGGAGGACAGTAATAGTTCAGAACTCACACACTACACCCAGATCTGGGTTCAAATCCAGGGCCAACACCTATTAGATGTGCAAGTTTCTTAATTCCTCAATGTTGTAGTTTTTCTTTCTATAAAACAGGGAGAATAATAGTGTCTACCTCAAGTGAGGCAATGTGAGGATTTAGTGTGGATAGGTAAGTAGATAGGAGATAGACAGATAGATAGATATAGAGAAACGTAGAATAGCGCCTCATGTGTAGAAATTCTGCATATTTGTCTGTTATTAATAGTCCTGGAGGATAGCCAGATGCAAAACTTGCTCTCAAGTAGCTGGGGAAGGAGCCCCAGAGCTCTAGTTTCGGAGATCTGGCTCCAGGCCTGGTTCTAACAGTGGCTTGCTGTGGGGTCTTGAGCAAGTAGTAACTTTCTTTGTCTGCCTTCAGGCTCTTCATCTGCAAGATCAGAGGACAGGACTGGAAGGCCCTGAATTTACTCACATTCTTCCTTGCCTTACAACATTGGGACATGGATTGAATTATGAACAACCTCTGTTGCACAGTTATGGGGGAAATTAGAAAATGAGGCAGTGAGAGGAGCTTCTCGTTGAGCCCAGAATGATGGTTTGGAGGAGCCATGGGGAGAGTCACTCCCCATAGCCTCAGATAGGAGAACTGTCTAGGTCAGACCAGGTAAGGGGTCAGGCAGCCCTGCTCATGGCTAGATCTCCTCATATTTATTTCTGGTGGTTGCCCTAGGGATTACAATATGTATACCTAACTTTTCACATTGCATTTAAATTTAATATTTGACCATTTCAAGTAGAATGTAGAAACTCACAACTATATACGTTCCTTTACCCTTCCTCCTTTATGTTACATATGTCATAAATGTTACATCTGCATACATTAAGAGCCCCCTACTCTCCAACGATGTTAAAATTTTGGCTTTTAATAGTCATACACATTTTGAAAACCTAAGAGGAAAGAAGTAGTTTATTATGTTTATTCAGATGTTTACCATTTCTGTTGCTCTTCCTTCTCTGAAGTTCTAATTTTCCCTCTGGGATCATTTCCTTCTATCCGAAGAACTTCCTTTAACGTTTATTTTAGAGTAGGTCTGTTGGCAATGAAAGCTATTAGTCTTCCTTTATCTGAGAATGTCTTTATTTCGTTCCTGAAGGATATTTTCATGGGATGTAGGATTCTGAGTTGACAGTTCTTCTCTTTCTTGTCTGCATGTTTACTGTCAGAAATCTGCAGTGAAATTTTTATTCTCCTACTTGTAACATGTCATTTTTCTCTGTTTTCAAAATTTCTTTATTTCCTTTGGTTTTTACAGTTTGATTATGATGGTTTCATTTGGATTTGTCCTGTTTGATGCTCCCTGAGCTTCTTGCATCTGTAAATTTATGTCTTTCACTGAATTTGGGAAATTTATTGTCATTATTTCTTCAAAAACTTTTTTCCATACCAATATCTTTTTCTTCTTAAGGGCTCTGAGCACATGTACATTACATCTTTTTATATTGTTCCACAGGTCCTGAGGCTCTGTTAACTTTTCAGCCTATTTTCTGTCTGTTCTGTTTTATTTTTTAATTTTTAAAAAATTTTTTGGAGAGAGAGCGTGCACGCGCACACATGTGCAAGCGGGGTGGGGGAGGGGTAGAGGGAGAGAGAGAGAGAGAATTTTAAGTAGGCTCCACACCCAGCGTGGAGCCCCATGTGGGGCCCAATCTCATGACCCTGAGATCATGACCTGAGCTGAAATAAAGAGCTGGACACTTAACCAACTGAGCCACCCAGGTGCCCCTTTATTTTTTAATTTTTATTTGAGTATAGTTGATGCACAATATTATATTAGTTTCAGAGTACTATGTAGTCATTCAACTTCTCTATATGGTATACTATGCTCACCACAAGTTACCATCTGTTATGATACATTGCTATTATAATATCATTGCCTGTATTCTCTATGCTGTGCCTTTTATTTCTATTATTCATTTCATAATTGGAAGCCTGTATCTCTCCCCACCCATCATCCATTTTGCCCATCCCTCCACCTCCTCTTACAATACAGAGTTTGTTCTCTGTATTTATAGGTCTCATTCTGCTTTTTTTAAATTTATTCATTGGTTTTGTTTTTAAAATTCCAAATATAAGTTAAATCGTAAGGTATTTGTCTTTTTCAGTCTGATTATTTCACTTAGCATAATACTCTCTAGGTCCATCCATGTTGTTGTACAAACCATAATCTCTTTTTAATGGCTGCATAATATTCCATCATATATATATATATATATATATATATATATATATATATATATATACACACACACACACACACACACCATCTTCTTTATCCATTTGTCTATTGATAAACACTTAAGTTGCTTCCATATCTTAGCTATTATAAATAATGTTGCATTAAACATAAGGGTGCATATATCTTCTCAAATTAGTATTTTTTATTTCTTTGAGTTAATACCCACTAGTAGAATTATTAGGTCATATGATATTTCTATTTTTAATGTTTTGAGGAAGCTCCATATTGTTTTCCACAGTGGCTGTACCAATTTACACTCCCACCAGCAATGTACTAGTGTTCTTTTTTCTCCACACCCTCACTAACACTTGTGATTTCTTGTCTTTTTGACTTTAGCCATTCTTCTCAAAGGTGTAAGGTAATACCTCATTGTGGTTTTGATTTGCATTTCCCTGATGATGAGTGATGTTGAACATCTTTTCATGTGTCTGTTGGCCTTCTGGATGTCTTCTTTGGAGAAATGTCTATTCAGGTCCTCTGCCCATTCTTTTTTTTTTTTTTTTTTAAGATTTTATTTATTTATTTGCAAGAGAGAATGAGAGACAGAGAGCACGAGAGGGAGGAGGCTCAGAGGGAGAAGCAGACTCCCCGCCGAGCAGGGAGCCCGACGCGGGACTCGATCCAGGGACTCCAGGATCATGACCTGAGCCGAAGGCAGTCGCCCAACCGACTGAGCCACCCAGGCGCCCCCTCTGCCCATTCTTTAATTGGATTATTTATTTCTTTGGTATTGAGTTGTGTGAGTTCTTTATGCATCTTCTCCAACCACAAATGGTATGAAACTAAACATCAGTCACAAGAAAAAATATTGAAATCACAATCACGTGGAGGTTAAACAACATGATACTAAACAACCAGTGGGTCAATGAAGCAATAAAAAAATAGATCAGAAAATACATGGAGATAAATGAAAATGGAAACGCAATGGTCCAAAATCTTTGGGATGCAGCAAAAGCAGTTCTAAGAGGGAAATATATAGCAATACAGGCCTACTTCAAGAAAAAGAAAAAACTCAAATAAAGAATCTAACCTGAGGGGCACCTGGGTGGCTCAGTCATTAAGCGTCTGCCTTCGGCTCAGGTCATGATCCCGGGGTCCTGGGATCGAGCCCCACATCGGGCTCCCTGCTCAGCGGGAAGCCTGCTTCTCCCTCTCCCACTCCCCCTGCTTGTGTTCCCTCTCTCGCTGTGTCTCTCTCTGTGAAATAAATAAAATCTTAAAAAAAAAAAAAGAATCTAACCTTATACCTAGAGAAACTAGGAAAAAAGAGCAAAGTATAAGGTGAATAGAAGGAAGGAAATAATACAGATCACAGCAGAAATAAATGACATAGAACCTACAATAACACTAGAAAAATCAATGAAACCACAATCTGGTTATTTGAAAAGATTAACACAACTTAGTTGGAAAAAGAGGAAGGACCCAAATAAATCAGAAATGAAAGGGGAGCAGTAGCAACTGACAACACAGAAATATAAGGGATTATAAGAGAATACTATGAAAATTTATATGCCAACAAACTGGACAACCTAGAAGAAATGAATAAATTCTTAGAAACATAAAATCTTCCAAAACTGAATCAAGAAGAAAGAGAAAATCTGAACAGACCAATTACTAGTAATGAAATTGAACCAGTAATAAAAAAATTACCAAAAAGTAAAAGTTCAGGACCACATGGTAGGATTCACAGGTGAATTGTACCAAACATTTAAAAAAGAACTAATGCCTATTCTTCTCAAACTATTCGAAAAAATAGAAGAGGAAGGAAAGCTGCCAAATACATTCTACAAGGCTAGCATTACCTTGATCCCAAAACCAGACACCGTGAAAAAACAACAACAACAACAACAACAAAAAAAACTACAGGCCAATATCCCTGAGGAATATGGATGCAGAAATTCTGAACAAAATATTAGCAAATTGCATTTAACATTAATTAAAAGGATCATTCACCAAGGTTAAGTAGGATTTATTTCAGGGATGAAAGGATGCTTCATTATTCACAAATCAATTGACATGATACAACATATCAACAAAACAAAGGACAAAAATCATATGATAATCGCAATATGCACATAAAGCATTTGACAAAATTCAATATCCATTCATGATAAGAACTCTCACAAAGTAGGTTTAGAAGGAACATACCTCAAATAATAAGACCCACACATTATATCATACTCATTGGTGAAAAACAGAGTTTTTCCTCTAAGATCAGGAACAAGACAAAAATGTCCACTCTCACCACTTTTATTCAACATAGTACTGGCAGTCCTAGCCACAATAATCAGACAAGAAAAAGGAATGTATCCATATTGGTAAAAAAGAAGTTAAACTGTCACTATTTGCAAATGACATAATACTATACCTAGAAAGGGGCGCCTGGGTGGCTCAGTTGGTTGAGCGACTGCCTTCGGCTCAGGTCATGATCTCAGGGTCCTGG